CCCCCCCCCCCCCCAAAAAAATAAATAAATAAAAAAAAGGGAAGCACAACCATAGTGTGACACATCTGAACGGTTGAAGGGTCCAAGAATGGTGCTTCCAATGTCTAAATGAGATTTTCAGAAATGACAATGGAACTTGGAAGTGGCCATTCCCTTCTGAAGTCTAAAACCACCACCATGTGTGGCAATGTGCATCGGATATCTCTAATGCAGTTTCATTTAATATCCAGAGTGAATGACCTTCTCATTCATACTTAATTTTGTAAATGTAAAACTTCAAATGTTACACATTTAGTAAAGAACAAGTCGTAAATTCAGACGTTCTAAATTTGAATCTTAGCAACTTTTTGGAGTCAGGCTATAAGAAATTTATCTCCCTTGAATACTATAATCCCGACGTGAATGGTCTGCCTTTCACCAGACTGGAGAGGAGATCAGTCAAGGTGCACGTAAGGATCGCAATGGACCGCGTAAAAATGAGTATTTGTCCAAATCCGCTCCGTTTGGATCGGGGATGGTCCATACGAATTGGACGGTGGACATATACGTGGATACTCATATATAAACCTATGTAGGGATGAATGTAGGGATGGATTGACACTTACCCTACCCCGCTTTACCAATTATTATTATTATTATTATTTTATGTATATACATGTTGCTGTGAATACAAATCTACATATTATTGAATGAATTTTCTTTTAAAAATTATTTTATTTTTTGATTTTATTTCAAGATTTTGGCGTGTAAAAGTATAGATCTTTGTGTTTTTATATTTTTTTATGTTAGATTATGTTATGTTATATTATGTTGTGTTGCATGATATTATGTTAGATTTACAAGGGAGATAAACTTTTAATTATATTATGTTGAATTATGTTGTAGACAAGATTTTAATATATTATATTGTAAATGAGAAACTTTTAATTATTTTATGATATTCTATAATTATGTTTAATTATTTAGAATGTTAAATTTATTTAGAATTTTGGATTATGTTGGCTTGGACTTGGGTTTGGGCTTGGGCGGGTAAGGTAGATGGGGGGGGCGGAAGTGAAGGCAGGAGACGAGGTGGGGATTACCAATTTACCCGCAGACGAGAATGAGAATAAAAATTATACTCGTTAACGAGGAAGGACGAAGTTTTTTTAAGTGAATATGGGAATGGAGACTACAACACCCCCCCAGGCGCCGCTTCGGTCCACTGTCATCCCTAAGTGCGCGTAAATTGGTTCAAATATCCTTAACCATTAAACAAAAAAAAAATAGTAATGAACCAAAATTTCATTCTTGGTGACACACTGCTAAGGAACAAGAAGGAAAGAAAGGACTAGATCAACAGGTATGCTAATCCACCAATTTCTTAAAATCTTTGTTTATATTTGCACACGACACTTGAGAAGAATTTCATTCAACCTCTTTAATATCAAGTTGCAATGATCAACCTGTCAGGGTAGTTCGAATGAGAAGGTTCTATGATTATTATCCCGTAATTCTTAGATTTGAGTCTTGCAAAAAAAAAAATTTGATTTTACCAATATGCGTAGTAGATGAGTGATCGAGTGTATCCTAATAAAGGACACCTGGTTAGGACAGTTCTCAATCACCTCAAAAAGAATGCAGGGATCAACAGGAACAAGCAATTTTGTACCACGAAGCTGATACAGCTTTCAAAAATATGTGAAATGACACCTTCCTTTTGACCATGCAAACTATAGGAAATCCTCTTGCAACCTCTTTGTACCTTTGAACCACTTTTGAATGAAAATATTTTCCTAGCACATTACTGTGGTAAAGAGCCCTCGTGTCACGGTCACGCAACCCAAAAGCTGAGGCTATTAGGAGAAGAATCATTTAAAATTTTATAAGACTATATAGTACTTTTTAACTAGTTGATGTGGAATTCATGACATTTTCTCTCGTCCTAAGATATGACACCATCGTCGCATTCGACTCCACCATTGGAGTGAGTGGCCCCACTTGGCCCGGGCCTACCTCAACCCTGGTATCCCCAGTGGGGAATCCACAAGACTAATAGAGTTGTAACTCATTAGGTCCCACTTTGATACCACTTGTCACGGTATCACAACTCAAAAACTTAAGCTGTTAGGTGAAGAATCGTTCAATATTTTATAAGTTCATACGACACTTTTTACCTAGCTAATGTATTATTCATGACACCTGACCTCCTCAAAATAGATGTTTCTTGCAACCTATTCAACAATGTTTATCAAATGTGATGTTACTAATTTGATTCACCCTAACCTGGCCTTTTATAAGAAGTACTTAGAATTCCCCCCATCGACAAATTACTAAGGTTGCTGGATGGATTANTTTGATACCACTTGTCATGGTATCACAACTCAAAAACTTAAGCTGTTAGGTGAAGAATCGTTTAATATTTTATAAGTTCATACGACACTTTTTACCTAGCTAATGTATTATTCATGACACCTGACCTCCTCAAAATAGATGTTTCTTGCAACCTTTTCAACAATGTTTATCAAATGTGATGTTACTAATTTGATTCACCCTAACCTGGCCTTTTATAAGAAGTACTTAGAATTCCCCCCATCGGCAAATTACTAAGGTTGCTGGATGGATTAGATTGCAACTATTTGTCAAAGAGAGCAGATTCTTTACGGGCAATCAATCAAAATTGAGGAGTTACATAAATACATTGGGAATCATCAACATTGATTTATGTATTTGTATAACTCCTCAATTTTGATTGACCGTGTATAAACAATTGTTTACATGCTTACTTGTAAAGAATTTAATTTCATTTGTCAAATGCCTTGAGCAATGTGCTTAAGGTTTCCTTTACGTGTCCAAGCATAGATTTCCTTCACACGTGTATGACCGTGTCCGAGTGTTGAGAGTAAATATTCAATGCAACTATAATATCACATCATTAACCANGGGAATCATCAACATTGATTTATGTATTTGTATAACTCCTCAATTTTAATTGACTGTGTATAAACAATTGTTTACCTGCTTACTTGTAAAGAATTTAATTTCATTTGTCAAATGCCTTGAGCAATGTGCTTAAGGTTTCCTTTACGTGTCCAAGCATAGATTTCCTTCACACGTGTATGACCGTGTCCGAGTGTTGAGAGTAAATATTCAATGCAACTATAATATCACATCATTAACCAATAGTGTACCACTGTCCAGTTCATTTTCTTCCTTGAAATCATACTAGAGACAATAAAATTAGATAATGACAGTAATTTGAGAAAAAATTTGGGTTAAGAAACATTTGCCACTCTTTACATTAGTTCATCGTTTCTTCAAAGACATTCCCTCTATTTTTTGAATCTTCACTGACATCTCTTGTCAAATTAAAAGTGTTAACTAGAATACAATTTTAGTAAATTGCTGGTGATATATTTTAGGAAAAATTTCATCCGCACCCCTTCTAAATACATATCTTCAATGAAACTCCCTCTATTTTTTAAATTTTTTTATGTATTAAAATTCGATTCGAGCTAATTTTTAATTTTATATATTAAAATTCGATTCAAGCTAATTTATATATTAAAATTCAAGTCGATTAAAATTATATTTTTTTATGTATTAAAATTTGAGTCGATTAAAATTCTATTCATGCTGATTAAAATTCATTTTTAATTTGTTTGAATCAAATTCTAATCAACTTGAATTGAATTTTAATTGACATGAATTTTAATAAATAAAAATATATAAATTTTAATCAACTTGAAGCGAATTTTAATGGACGATAACAACTCAGGTAGAGCTCAAATCAACTTGAATTTTAATACACAAAAAATAAATTCAACTTGAATTTTAAATAGTTTGAATCGAATTTTAATTGGCTCAAATTTTAATATGTAAAAAAAATTAATTTTTTTCAACTCGAATTTTAATATGTGAAAAAAAAAACTTTAATCGGCTCAAATTTTATGTAGAAAAATTGTTTAGGTCTATGTAGGAGTAATTTTAGTAATTTAGATTAATTTTTTTGTTAGAAACGAAGGTTTAAAGACCGATTGTGTTAATGATGTTTAAATAAAAACTAAATAAGGTGTTAGTGATATTTCGAATAATAAAAGAAGATATGATAAATTAGAAAAGATGTGACTGAAATTTTTCCAAATAAATATAATTTCAATAATATCATTCTAATCAGTAAAAGAGCTACTGTTATCAAATCAACCCGATGAGAACGTTGGCAAACATATTTCTTCTACAAGAGGGAAATTCAAGAACTGAAACCCCAACATCATTGTATTAATTCAACTAAGAGGAAGAACCTTGACTTCTTTTGGGTGGGAAGTATGATGAAAGCCCCAACCTGCGCCACATGTTCTCTGATTGAAACGACATTTTTTCTATACAAATCTAACACAAATGACAATGACATTTTTTCCACATGTTATCTGCTCTCCAAATGATTCCCATTGCAAGATGAAAACCAACACACAAATAGCAATCAATTATCACGTTCATGTCCATATCATTATAAAATCTCAAGCACATAATTGTCGTATGGCAGAATGACCAAAATAGGTATTTCTTATGCAATGTATGATGCATCTGAAACCTGAAAGATAAAGAACATAATTTCCAACGACCATAAAAATTGTTTTCATTGATTCCGGTAATGGAATTCCATTATTTGCTCTAGTTTCAAACTTCTAATGATAACAGTTGTGGATGACTTTCCCATTCATTCACGATTTCATGCAACATTATGCAAACAGTAACATATAACAAAGTATCATCAATGACTAAAATAGCGCCAGTGTGTCGAATAAATGCCACCTAAAATCACAAGTTTTAAGCCGTGGTTAGAAATAGTTTTCGGGCATCAAATTGGCATTCGATTCTACATCTCGCAGTACAACATGGGAGCAGATGGTTAAATTAATTCAGAAATCTAATTGTATCCCAAATGATACAAGTTACACATTCAAACCGGAGGAAAATACAATAAGAGTTGATGATATTTCATTCACGACTTCAGATACGACAAAGTTTGTAAATGCCACAATGTTATAGCATCTGAGTATCGATACAAAATAAATGACTCATAATACATTCTCATCATACAATGTTATCCAAAAATGGCATTATATGAATATGATTCATGGATTGGATGCATCATGGATCAAACATCTCACCAAAAAACTTGACATTATTAAAGAATGATAGTCCTATTCCCATCAATTTGATTCCATAACTTACCTGTATCCTTCAACTCAAATAGTTAAGCAGATGCNATCCAAAAATGGCATTATATGAATATGATTCATGGATTGGATGATAGTCCTATTCCCCTCAATTTGATTCCATAACTTACCTGTATCCTTCAACTCAAATAGTTAAGCAGATGCAGCAAATTGTTGGGGAAATGGGGATTGTTTGAAAGAAATAAGATGTGAGCCATGTTGCGATGACTATTAATCTTGAGAAAATAGAACAATGTGAGAAAAATGTTCATAAACAATTATTCAACTACAAGTGCACAACATTAATACTGAATGCATTCTTCATTAATCATCCTTATAAGCTGCAAACCACACCCAGCACACAGCAATCATATATTGCATCGATACATCCATATAGCGAAACGCTACAACATGGATATATAAGCAAATTTACATTCCTCTTAACTTGGACAAACACACACCCACATACAAGGTTTACAAGCAATTATATACACAACAGGCTTGTAAAGCCTTGTATCAGTAAAGTACACTCTATTTCATTATGTGATCGGAGAGAATCAACATATATCCCCAACAAACAACCGGCATGAATCCAATGAGAGATGGAATCCTAACACCAACAGACCCACATCAGTTCTAGTAACAATCTTCAATATGCATCAACCAAAAACAGAAAAATCATACGCACGAAAGCCAAATTCAATACTGATCTCCACAGCAATCAAGAACAGCAAGTTGGGCACCTTATCAACCCGTTCTCATTGCACTCGGGACACCGCGTCAACTGCTCATAATCCTCATCAAAAACCTTCCTACTCCCATTACAATTCGCGCAGGGCATAAACCTCACATCCCCACATCCTTCACACACATACCCTGGTGCTCGAACAGGTAACCCTTTGAGAATCTTAGCCAATTCACCCACTTCATGTAGCTGTTTGATCACATCAGCCCCTCCAATATATTTCCCCCTTACAAACACTTGTGGCAAAAACACATTCTTCTCACCCAATACATTTTGTAACTCTTTCTTGTACCCTGAATCCATTGAAATGTCCCTCTCATCCACATTTACCCTAAACCCCCGCAATATCATCCTCACAGCACAACAGTCCTCATAGGTCCTCCGAATTCCCCGTAAACTCGTGAAATACACAACCACTCGATCTTCTGTGCCTGGTAATAGAACTGAATTGTCATGTGAAAACCCAGAATCCCGAGAATTAGAATCAACCAATTTTGCAGATTTTGATGGTGATTGGGGTGGGAATTGGGTGGGCGAATCTGGTGGTTTTGGGGATTCGAACAAAGAACGGAGCATTCTAACCTTGCCCTTGACAGAATCAAAAGACGAATTGTAGAAATTCTTGATTGAACCGGTGCGTTCCAGAGAGACGGAGAGGACAGGCTGTTTGGGGAATTCGGTAGAGGTTGCGTGCATAGTTACCGATCGATTGAAGATCGATGGCTTGGCCTTGGGGTTTTCCGAGAATTCCAATTCGTTGCTTAATCGAGCCATATGTACAGGGAATTTGAGTTCTTTTGGAGCTTCTAGGACTAATACTGGGCCTTTCAGCCCTTTTCCGATGTGTTTAGGGTTAAAATTAGGGGTTTTCCGGCTTTTTCCGGGGTCTTTGAGGTTAAAATTATACGGTTTTTGTGATGGGTATAGAGAATCGAGAGGATATTGACTGAAGAAACTTTTAGAAATTAGGTTTTTTTTAGGGAGGGGGTTGTAAATATTAGGGTTTTGCTGCGATTGGTGGCGGCGATGGTGGTGGTGAGAGAAAGCTAAGGATGATCTTTGCCGCTGGATTTGGAACTGGTGGGTAGTGATGACGATGGAAATGGATTAAACTCGGCGGTGGATTGGTTGGTAGGTGGCCGGCTCTGTCGTAGGCGGTGCTTTTGGAGGCCAAGCGTGGATTGAAAGAAATTTGAGAGAGAGACAGCGACAGAGGAGGGAGGGAAGCTTTTTTGAAAAGTGGTCGTTGGGGGCCAGGCGATGATTGAAAGGAAAGGATGGGATACGTATGGCTATTTCTTTGCTATTTCTTGTTAAAATTTGTTGGGCGTGCTATTTATATTGCTGGAGTTATTTACCTGTATATCGTCTTTTTAAAATTTTATTATCGATTTATAATATTTTTAAATTTTTTATTAAACTATGACACGTTTTAAAAATAAAGTCAATAAATTCATTTTTACCCCATTTTTAAATAAAAAATATAATCTAATTGCAACAAATTTGTGGGCAAATAGATAAAACTCGTGATTACTAAAAACAAATTTTTGTGAAAAAAACGTATTTAGTAAACACACTTTTCATATCGTCACTACAACTAAATATTGAACACAAAAGGTAAAAAATGTGTTTATTAAACATGTTTTTTTCACAAAAGTGTGTTTAGTCATGCTTTTCATCTATAATTATTATAACTATTGACCATATTTTTTTTATTTAAAAGCGAGATTATTGACACAATTTCTTAACAAAAGCGAACTTGTTGACTCCTTTTCTAAAAAATATTGTAGTTTGATAAACTTAAAATGTGAATTTAATCAATCATTTTTATTGATTTTACTGTGAATCTCAATAAATATTGAGATTCACTAACTATTAATGATTGTAATTTATCAAGTCCATATTTTAAATTCAAATAGCATTTCTCTTGATAAATAAGTTCAAAAGTACTGTAAATCGATAATATAGTTTTCAAAATACGATAGACTAGTAAATAACTTGATAATATTGTGTCACCGGTCCAATGTAATAACTTGCAGATTCAAGCATTGTTATTTTTCTCTNCAATATTTTAAATTCAAATAACATTTCTCTTGATAAATAAGTTCAAAAGTACTATAAATCGATAATATAATTTTCAAAATACGGTAGACTAGTAAATAACTTGATAATGTTGTGTCACCGGTCCAATGTAATAACTTGCAGATTCAAGCATTGTTATTTTTCTCTTTGTAATAATACATAATAAAAAAGCTAATTATAAACTTTTATGTGATTTATTCATAATGATTGCTTATAAGCATAATAAAGTAAAATAAAATAAAATAATTTTATATGTATCACTTTTTTTTGAAGTATTAAAAAATGACATTTTGGATCATAGTTGCTGTTTTATTAATGGAACTCTTTCATCCACTTTGACGGGTAAATATTGGTTGTAATTGTTACACTACGTCAACAGTATCACGTTATGTAATCATCTAAAAGAAAAATTATAAATGAATAAAATAGATCCCACTTTCTTATATGGAGGTAGTTATATATTATATGGTTAGGTGATTATGAATTTTTGTGAGATTCACTTGCAAAGACACCATTAACATGGTATAACCGTTACACCCAATATATTGCAGTGAGAAAAGAAGACAAAAACACACTGTCAGTGTATCATATGAATCAAATAAAAAATACAAGTCTAGAAAGAAAGACCTTTGAAGGATATCCCAGAAAGACCTTACATGAAGCATAATAAAGTAAAGTAAAATAAAATAGATCCCACTTTCTTATATGGAGGTAGTTATATATTATATGGTTAGGTNAAATAATTTTATATGTATCACTTTTTTTTGAAGTATTAAAAAATGACATTTTGGATCATAGTTGCTGTTTTATTAATGGAACTCTTTCATCCACTTTGACGGGTAAATATTGGTTGTAATTGTTACACTACGTCAACAGTATCACGTTATGTAATCATCTAAAAGAAAAATTATAAATGAATAAAATAGATCCCACTTTCTTATATGGAGGTAGTTATATATTATATGGTTAGGTGATTATGAATTTTTGTGAGATTCACTTGCAAAGACACCATTAACATGGTATAACCGTTACACCCAATATATTGCAGTGAGAAAAGAAGACAAAAACACACTGTCAGTGTATCATATGAATCAAATAAAAAATACAAGTCTAGAAAGAAAGACCTTTGAAGGATATCCCATTATAACCCAAATATGACACAAACTGAGGGTGTAAAATACCACAAAGAAGGAAAGAGCCACACCAAAGTTAATATCCATANCAGTGAGAAAAGCAGACAAAAACACACTGTCATTGTATCATATGAATCAAATAAAAAATACAAGTCTAGAAAGAAAGACCTTTGAAGGATATCCCATTATAACACAAATATGACACAAACTGAGGGTGTAAAATACCACAAAGAAGGAAAGAGCCACACCAAAGTTAATATCCATATACCACCAAAATGCACACCACTACCAACATGATGAAAACCACACAATCACCACCAACACCGCCCCCAAACACCAGATACCATCACAACCACCACCACAAGAAAGCCATCCCTACACCCCTACAACCATAACCAACACCAATACTGACACATCATTGACCGTTGCCTCACTATTTATNACAATCACCCACCAACACCGCCCCCAAACACCAGATACCATCACAACCACCACCACAAGAAAGCCATCCCTACACCCCCACAACCATAACCAACACCAATACTGACACATCATTGACCGTTGCCTCACTATTTATTTCATTTCATTTGGAATGGATTTTAAGTATAAACATAAAGGGGGGGAAAAAAAGTAGTACATAGTAGACAAGGCTCCCGTCTACTTTTTCCTCATTTTAGAAGTGTTTGATTCCCAGATTTGAACCCACAATGTTTTGCTTGAGAGGATGAACACTTCCGACCTCAGATTACAACAAAGAAATGATTCATTATGTCAAGAGATATGTGATCCTAGCAGTGCACAAGTATTTCTACAATGCGGTATCATAAGTCATGCAAATATTCTATGTACCTTTTGATGCCTGGCCCGATTAGATTCTGACAGAACAACTTCCCTTACCGGTTTGATAAACACCAATCGCTCATAGTGAAATATGATTTGAAGTGCAAACAATCAAACAAAACCTCCATGATTTAAGACAATGAGTAACATACAAAATGAATGCTTAACAATTTCAAATAATTGCAGTCAGATAAAGTAATTCAAAGAAAAGAAATGATATTTCAAGAGTTCTAGTGTACCTAGAATAGTCAAGAGAAAGGTGAAGAAGAACAATAAACATACACTAACATGCTCCAGTGTAAAAGTCGTGGTTATATAATTAGGAGAATACAAATCCGTGATTACAAAAAAATTTCAAACGATAAATTTTAGTTTCCTGGGGAAATCTATATTACCAACAATATATTATTCCCCTCAATGTGGATAGTGGAAATAACAATCTATCTTCTAAAAAGAACTCGGGATAAAATGAAGCACATCTATCATTATGAAAAAGATCTGGTAGTTCTCTTTTATTTATGTTCTTTAAGTTATGTGAGAGCACACCTTGCTCAAAGGACAGTTTCCCAACTTCAAAGTGAGTGGCAACACATAAGGCTTAATCAAACTGCAGTGGCACAATCCTGATACAAAGTCACAGCTGGTCTATTGATAATCTTGTGGAGTCATTTCTGCCAATAGATGCCTGTGATTTAGAATGAAGCTGTAAATCAAACTATTAAGACAAGCTCAAAAATAAGATGAAAATTATTAAGAAAAAAAGTGCAAAAATAACCTCTGATCATGCTTAACTTCAATACAAAAATAAAAACCACGATACCAACTTACTCCACATTACATTTTACCTCTTCCAAATAGCATCATCGAATTATAACAGCTCAAGAACTAGACAATTGATGTTACCAACGGAATGTCAAACATTATGTTTTCCAGATTTATTAAATTGATCAGATTCCATTGAGAGGGGAACAACAATCAAGCAACCAGTTTGCAAATATCTCTCTCTATTTTTCTCACCTCTATATTGTCGTCCATGTACATGGGACCTGAATGAAAGAATCCAAAACATATAAAGATAAATTCATGCTAACATATTTAGCAGATGCATACTAAGCTTGAAACCTCAACCTCAAGAGAAACACCACATAACTTTAATCTCAATCCTGCCAACATAATTTTCAATCTTGCATCTGCTAAGCTTACTCCAATGTGTCATGCTTTTTGCACCCTTTAGACTCTTGACAATAAACATATATCTAGAGTTTCATCAAGAAATGAAATTCTGTAAATTCTTGCTAGAAAACTATTAAAAAAACTCTATCACTGAACCTAGATAGTACAATGAGAAGATGTAAAAATGAAGAGATGTAAAACACTAGTTTAGGGACAGGGGTATCAACAAGATCACAAATGCATAAAGGGGTATTAAACGAAATCATTCCTCAAACTGGTAATTGAGCATGATGTGCAGAAGTTGTTATAGGGTGAAAGGGGACAAACTACGGATACAGATGCAAACGCACGCACATAATTGAGTTTTTGAAGCAGAAATAGAATCATTTCCTTCAATATCATAAACAAAAAAATAGGTCTCAAACTTCATGCAGTTGCTTGCTCTCCTTTATAAATTCAATCATACTCCAACAGGATGAAGGTCTGCCTCATGACCGACGGTAAAAAAATGCCAACCCGAACCATGAAAAGCTCGAAAAAAATCGTCTGAAGAGGTATTAATTCCAAGCTCTTTTGTTAACCTCCTAGAAGCCAAGATGTGCTTCCTTGAATCAGCAACAGTTGAGTTTCTGAACATTGACATTTGTTGTTCATATGCCTCAAAGCTGTTCCCAAACAGCACTATGCGATTCAACAGATCGACTCTCCAATTGGCATGCAGCAGATTGTCATACAACTCTGCCTCACAGTGTGGCATGAAGAACAGCATTGGTCTCAAAGCTTGTCGTCGCCCATGTTCATTGACTAATAGAACAGAACAGCCGAGAGCTTCCAAAACCCTAGCTTCTGTCAATGAAATAATCGGATCAAACACCTCAATGTCCCCAATCCAACTGAACTTTCGCTTCAGCACAATTGCGAGGCTAAGCTGCAAACGAGGGGGCTCAAATGATTCAATGCTACCTAAACCATATATCACCATCTGCATATTTAATTCTTCGCCTAAAACCTTAAAAAAGCGATCCAAATTTTCGGGAGTAAGGATTTGATCCAAAAGTGTATGGAAGAACGGAGAGTTCTCCAGTTTCTGAATACAGAGTTGCATCTTCTGCATCAATTTTAATTCTCTTTCAGGATTGGTTTCAAGATCAACCGGAGCCCATGATTGTTCTTCTTGTTGTTTTGGTGTGATAACTTTGGGTAAATACCTTCTCTGTCTGCCACGACGAGGTAAAACAATTGTCCACTCTTCAGTTGGGTTGGCCTTTTCACAAATGAGAGTTTTTGCAGAAGCAGCCATTGTAATGTGCAGACTCTTCCACAATTAAATGCAGCCTGTGAGTTGGAGAAATCAATATATAGCAATTGTCATCTCCTGATATTTACCATCCGTCATGTATATGCATTAAATTCCAGCAAAAAAAATTAACTGAGATGACTCAAGAGTCAAACACGCAACCAGACACAAAGATAAAAAAGAGTCGAATACACAACCAGACACAAACAAGCAGCTATATCCTTATATTTAGCCCATGAGGACCAAGTGCTTGATTAAATCTGACAGAACGTTGGCTGCACCTCACAGCTGAAATCAAGCATGCTTAATGCAATTAGATGTTCCTTCGCACAATTCATGTTGAGTTGGTCATAGCAACAACATGGATGTGTTGACCTCTACATTGTGTCAGAAAAGAAGGCCTTATAAGAAATATAATTAGCAAAGCTCTAGTTGTACTAAAAAAGAAATTGGAAACAAAGAAAGAAACTTAGACTGATAATAGAGGTGGAAGAGGTGGCCAAAGTCTTTGTTGGTGGGGACAGAGGAGAAAGCTGGAACAATTCAACGGCCAGAAACTAAAGGACAGAAATCTTGGACGACTAATCAGGTTTATATATGGTGATCAGTGTGCTAAGAAGTTCACAATATATAATCACTTTGAGCAACTCATGTAGCCCACTGAACCAGGACCGGGGGTGCTTAGCAGGGGGCCAGGGGCAATGAAAGTTTATATATGTGATGGTTGATTCTAGGGTAGATTTGGAAAACTTTGCCCCATCTATCCAACTTAGAATCAAACTAATTAGCAAGTTCTACTAGTTTCAGAACCGAGACAAACAACTCTGTTACTAATACAATCTGTTTGAGGTCAGCCAGTTGGCTTCTCACATTAACACTTCCCAACATGCACCCCAACATACAACTCTTTACTCAATTTCAATGAGTAGTCTAGGATCCATGGCTTCTAGGAGTTAAGATTTTAAAACTACATCAAACCAGGGTATCCATTCACAGCAGGTTAGTCATTTAAGGGTTACAAATTTCGAACCATTCTGATTTCTGATCAAAGAAAGTGTTAGTAAAATAAAAACTATGACTATCCCAACCTATATGTTCGCCATGGTTATGCATTGGCAAAATGCTCAGCTAAGGTTATCCCAACTGGATGCAACCTTGAAACCACCATGCTTCAAACTCGTTTTACTTGTATTATGTCGATGAGATGAAAATTATATCCAGCTGATGCGTTCAAAATTATTGAAGACAAACAAATTTTGGCAATAGCATTCCCTTAGTGAAGTGGACAGAAAATCGACAACAATTTAGTAAGTGTCGTGGTAAATATGTTAAACAGAGATAAAAACAATTCAGCATCATGGATGTCAGTCTGGAGCCATGATCTTGCAAGAACCTCAACTAAATATTTGAGGATACTCAAAACACATGGAGTTCCGGCAATCTGAGTAATAAAATATGTAGAACAAAAATGACTAGCCTAAGTGGAGGAATAGCAATGAAAGCATTCGAGAATAGAAATCATATCGCGTAAACAAAAATAAATGGGGGGTTTGAATTGAAGCAGGCATTATAAGGACTACATAACTCCCAGTCACCCTAATTGTTGAACAACTNTATCGCGTAAACAAAAATAAATGGGGGGAAGCAGGCATTATAAGGACTACATAACTCCCAGTCACCCTAATTGTTGAACAACTTATGACTATCAACATCGCAAACTGATTGCATATACCCGTCCCATGTTGTTTGTAAATGAAGGAATNCTTATGACTATCAACATCGCAAACTGATTGCATATACCCGTCCCATGTTGTTTGTAAATGAAGGAATGCCGAAGAATTTCCTAATACGATGAAGATGACATTGCAGGCATACCAACGAATATCCTAATTCTGCGATCAAACATAAACTCGAATGGCACTCGTTCACCGTCAAAAGACAAATTAAAACCATAAAATTAGTGAAAATTTTTCTACAAATCTGCACTTACTTAGAACATGGTAAACGATTAATCTTCCTGGAAAATCTTTACAGAGTATCCTCCTCAAAAACAACCATTAGCTGCCAACGACGCCGAATTGTAGATTAAAATCATATAGAACTAATGAAAGAAAACAAAGGAATCGAATAACACAGAGAAACAAAACTAATTTGTAGAACCTGACTGAGTTGGGATGTGAGAAATATTGATTGAATTATAGAATGTGTTTGAGTTTAGAGGCGCAATTGGAGGCTTCGAGCGTGGACGTACAGGTAGAGGGAGAGAGACAGAGACGTGGGGTGTTTGGGTTTAGGGTGTTGCTTGAAGTGTCGATTGGAACTGGAGCACCTCTACTGGCGTTCAAAGGTATGGGTTTTTTTACCTCATAACCACCGATGGACGGTGGATAAAATATTAGAAAAAAATTAGACTCAAATTTGTTATTTCATTATTTAAANTTTACCTCATAACCACCGATGGACGGTGGATAAAATATTAGAAAAAAATTAGACTCAAATTTGTTATTTCATTATTTAAATTTTTAAAATATTACACACAAATCCCATAAAGTTTACACGTACGTAACACTTTAATATATTCGTTAATAAATTATACCCAGACTTCTTAAAATTTATAGGCGTATACTTAGACACTTTAAATTTAAAATATTATATTTAGACCAAAAATACTTTAATTAAAAATAAAATATTAAATTNATAGGCGTATACTTAGACACTTTAAATTTAAAATATTATATTTAGACCAAAAATACTTTAATTAAAAATAAAATATTAAATTTTTTAAATTTTACAATTAAAATTTATATTCTATTGTATCATTTATTAAAATAAAATTAAAAATAAAAATTTATTTTTTCTTAAAAAATTATAATTAATATACAATTATACTCATAAATTATGTTTCTATATAATTAAGAGTAATTTTTAAAAAATTAAATAAATAAACCTCAAATATGAATTCTTTAAATGAAAAATAAATTGAATAACTATAATATAAATTGTGTTTTGTGTAGGAATAAAAATATCATATCAAATAATTTTTTTTTTGGTCAGTATATCAAATATTCAATGTGTACAAATGATATAATGGGTGTGTAAAATTTGTGTCACATATATATATATATAATTATAAAGGTGACAAGTGTCGTTTAAATAACTAGGGACAAAATGTAAAAGTACAATTGTATTAAAAAAATGAAGAAGAAGAAAATGCATGGATAAATGTCCATGCTGATGCAAGCTTCAAGGTCTCACCCATTTAATGTGGGATGAAAATTAGCCTACAAATAACCAATGTAGAGGCATTAGGACAGCAAAAGAAAGGAGATAAAAGAGGAAGAGTAGAGAGGGAAAAATGAGGAGACAAAGACATAAATTTTATCAACTTAGGAGTTTGTTTTTACCATAAAAGATTTAGGTAAAATTTTTGAGTTATGATTTAATGATTTTATTGGTTCAAATCACATAAATTTGATCTTTGTTAAATACTTTTTGATCAAATTTGGGCATTGTTATTTTTTGTTATTTACTCTAAAAAATATTTTAGTTTAACTAAGTCATTATTATTTATTTTTATTCTAAAATATTTATTTTATTTTTTTTTCTATATTACATGCTATCGATCCAAGGTAACGTTGAATTTATGGTTTCTTTTATCTTTTAAAGTCATTGATGCATCTCATGATATTTATGTACAAAAGTTAATCAAACAAAATAATGAATATTAAATCTAAATAAAGATATCCACAAAACTAAAAATAAACTAAATGAATAACTTTTTATTACATATCTCTGAGTCACAAGACGTCTATTAAAGTGGATCTCGACGTTCTTTTCTATTGCGGAATTCATCTATCATTGAATCTATGCTTAATTATTTAGCAACTTCTTTTTCTATATAAACAATTAAAGAGTTTGTGAGAAAATCATCTTTCATCTTGTTATGAAGTCTAGTTTTAGCATATATTCTCGTCTGCTTTTCTATTGCTTGCAATGGTTGAAGCATTTTAAGTTTTTTAGTGTTTGCTTTNCAACCATTAGCTGCCAACGACGCCGAATTGTAGATTAAAATCATATAGAACTAATGAAAGAAAACAAAGGAATCGAATAACACAGAGAAACAAAACTAATTTGTAGAACCTGACTGAGTTGGGATGTGAGAAATATTGATTGAATTATAGAATGTGTTTGAGTTTAGAGGCGCAATTGGAGGCTTCGAGCGTGGACGTACAGGTAGAGGGAGAGAGACAGAGACGTGGGGTGTTTGGGTTTAGGGTGTTGCTTGAAGTGCCGATTGGAACTGGAGCACCTCTACTGGCGTTCAAAGGTATGGGTTTTTTTACCTCATAACCACCGATGGACGGTGGATAAAATATTAGAAAAAAATTAGACTCAAATTTGTTATTTCATTATTTAAACTTTTAAAATGTTACACACAAATCCCATAAAATTTACACATACGTAACACTTTAATATATTCGTGAATAAATTATACCCAGACTTCTTAAAATTTATAGGCATATACTTAGATACTTTAAATTTAAAATATTATATTTAGATCAAAAATACTTCAATTAAAAATAAAATATTAAATTTTTTAAATTTTACAATTAAAATTTATATTCTATTGTATCATTTATTGAAATAAAATTAAAAATAAAAATTTATTTTTTCTTAAAAAATCATAATTAATATACAATTATACTCATAAATTATGTTTCTATATAATTAAGAGTTATTTTTAAAAAATTAAATAAATAAACCTCAAATATGAATTCTTTAAATGAAAAATAAATTGAATAACTATAATATAAATTGTGTTTTCTGTAGGAATAAAAATATCATATCAAATATTTTTTTTTTGGGTCAGTATATCAAATATTCAATGTGTACAAATGATATAATGGGTGTGTAAAATTTGTGTCACATATATATATATAATTATAAAGGTGACAAGTGTCGTTTAAATAACTAGGGACAAAATGTAAAAGTACAATTGTATTAAAAAAATGAAGAAGAAGAAAATGCATGGATAAATGTCCATGCTGATGCAAGCTTCAAGGTCTCACCCATTTAATGTGGGATGAAAATTAGCCTACAAATAACCAATGTAGAGGCACTAGGACAGCAAAAGAAAGGAGATAAAAGAGGAAGAGTAGAGAGGGAAAAATGAGGAGACAAAAGACATAAATTTTATCAACTTAGGAGTTTGTTTTTACCATAAAAGATTTAGGTAAAATTTTTGAGTTATGATTTAATGATTTTATTGGTTCAAATCACATAAATTTGATCTTCGTTAAATATGTTTTGATCAAATTTGGGCATTGTTATTTTTTGTTATTTACTCTAAAAAATATTTTAGTTTAACTAAGTCGTTATTATTTATTTTTATTCTAAAATATTTATTTATTTTTTCTATATTACATGCTATCGATCCGAGGTAACGTCGAATTTATGGTTTCTTTTATTTTTTAAAGTCATTGATGCATCTCATGATATTTATGTACAAAAGTTAATCAAACAAAATAATGAATATTAAATATAAATAAAGATATCCACAAAACTAAAAATAAACTAAATGAATAACTTTTTATTACATATCCCTGAGTCACAAGACANTAAATGAATAACTTTTTATTACATATCTCTGAGTCACAAGACGTCTATTAAAGTGGATCTCGACGTTCTTTTCTATTGCGGAATTCATCTATCATTGAATCTATGCTTAATTATTTAGCAACTTCTTTTTCTATATAAACAATTAAAGAGTTTGTGAGAAAATCATCTTTCATCTTGTTATGAAGTCTAGTTTTAGCATATATTCTCTTTTGCTTTTCTATTGCTTGCAATGGTTGAAGCATTTTAAGTTTTTTAGTGTTTGCTTCGTAAACAATAGGACTCTTTATTTTAATTTATTTGGAATTGAGGCATATATTAGGAAAGACAATATTTTTGTTATCAAGACTCGTACCCAAAAGTTGTAAATAAGGTAGGACTCTTTGTTATTATATTACTTCCTAGTTTAACAAGAAAATCTTACGATAACTGATGATGCACAAAAGTGTTTATGCATAATCAATCAAAGATGTGATGGTGTATGCACAACACAGTAAGAGACACATATTAGGTAGTTTGGTTTGGGTGACCCACTCTACTAGAAATGATTACGATGGCCGGAGAGTCTCATTACTCAAGTGTGTATAGTGTTGAGATTTGTGTGATAACCCTCACGTGTAGCCGGAACTTACAATTTATAAGCGAGTAAAGTTTCATAGCGCCTTAGAGAGAGCCTTAATTGAGATGCAATTACGAGGAGCCCTAAATGAGGCGTCACCCTCATAACGGGGAGCGCGGTGATTTCGTGATGCTAACGTAACGAGTGAGGTGGTCTTGTGAAGTTGGCGATGCACACCCCGATGATCACGTTCCGTGATTCCCTTCATAAGGTGGAGATCTCTACTTGCGTTAGTAATAGACTTGGGTATGTATTTGTGATATGGGTCATGCTTGTATCTGTGATCTGGGTTTGGTCTATATCTGTGATCTAGGCCTAGTTTTGGTCAGGCCCGTCATTTGCCCCATATCCGGAGTCCAATGGGATTTGGGGGAGAGGGGCATCAGTAGAATAATCTACTTTTTTACCCTTACCTTTTGAGTATTTTGCCACAAAATCTTTCATTCCATGAACAGTCGCAGTTGTGTGGCGTGGGATGCAAGGCGCAAAGGGTGCCAGTGGTCGGTGAAGGAGCACGAGCGCTAGCAGGAAGAGTCACGGGTGTTCACAAGCGATGAGGGAGCATGGACATTGGCGCGTTTTGGCAAGCAAGACGCCGGTGCCCTTGGCAGGCGATATGCAATGACAGAGGGCGCTAGGCGCATGATGCAGGCATTGGGCGCAAGGTGAGGCGGTGATGTGTGACGATTTGCAGATGCTATGAGGCAAGGGCGTCGAGGTGCTAGACAAGGCATAGGTCTAGGNCAATGTAGAGGCATTAGGACAGCAAAAGAAAGGAGATAAAAGAGGAAGAGTAGAGAGGGAAAAATGAGGAGACAAAGACATAAATTTTATCAACTTAGGAGTTTGTTTTTACCATAAAAGATTTAGGTAAAATTTTTGAGTTATGATTTAATGATTTTATTGGTTCAAATCACATAAATTTGATCTTTGTTAAATACTTTTTGATCAAATTTGGGCATTGTTATTTTTTGTTATTTACTCTAAAAAATATTTTAGTTTAACTAAGTCATTATTATTTATTTTTATTCTAAAATATTTATTTTATTTTTTTTTCTATATTACATGCTATCGATCCAAGGTAACGTTGAATTTATGGTTTCTTTTATCTTTTAAAGTCATTGATGCATCTCATGATATTTATGTACAAAAGTTAATCAAACAAAATAATGAATATTAAATCTAAATAAAGATATCCACAAAACTAAAAATAAACTAAATGAATAACTTTTTATTACATATCTCTGAGTCACAAGACGTCTATTAAAGTGGATCTCGACGTTCTTTTCTATTGCGGAATTCATCTATCATTGAATCTATGCTTAATTATTTAGCAACTTCTTTTTCTATATAAACAATTAAAGAGTTTGTGAGAAAATCATCTTTCATCTTGTTATGAAGTCTAGTTTTAGCATATATTCTCGTCTGCTTTTCTATTGCTTGCAATGGTTGAAGCATTTTAAGTTTTTTAGTGTTTGCTTTGTAAACAATAGGACTCTTTATTTTAATTTATTTGGAATTGAGGCATATATTAGGAAAGACAATATTTTTGTTATCAAGACTCATACCCAAAAGTTGTAAATAAGGTAGGACTCTTTGTTATTATATTACTTCCTAGTTTAACAAGAAAATCTTACGATAACTGATGATGCACAAAAGTGTTTATGCATAATCAATCAAAGATGTGATGGTGTATGCACAACACAGTAAGAGACACATATTAGGTAGTTTGGTTTGGGTGACCCACTCTACTAGAAATGATTACGATGGCCGGAGAGTCTCATTATTCAAGTGTGTATAGTGTTGAGATTTGTGTGATGACCCTCATNTCAAAGATGTGATGGTGTATGCACAACACAGTAAGAGACACATATTAGGTAGTTTGGTTTGGGTGACCCACTCTACTAGAAATGATTACGATGGCCGGAGAGTCTCATTACTCAAGTGTGTATAGTGTTGAGATTTGTGTGATAACCCTCACGTGTAGCCGGAACTTACAATTTATAAGCGAGTAAAGTTTCATAGCGCCTTAGAGAGAGCCTTAATTGAGATGCAATTACGAGGAGCCCTAAATGAGGCGTCACCCTCATAACGGGGAGCGCGGTGATTTCGTGATGCTAACGTAACGAGTGAGGTCGTCTTGTGAAGTTGGCGATGCACACCCCGATGATCACGTTCCGTGATTCCCTTCATAAGGTGGAGATCTCTACGTGCGTTAGTAATAGACTTGGGTATGTATTTGTGATATGGGTCATGCTTGTATCTGAGATCTAGGTTTGGTCTATATCTGTGATCTAGGCTTAGTTTTGGTCAGGCCCGTCATTTGCCCCATATCCGGAGTCCAATGGGATTTGGGGGAGAGGGGCATCAGTAGAATAATCTACTTTTTTACCCTTTCCTTTTGAGTATTTTGCCACAAAATCTTTCATTCCATAAACAGTCGCAGTTGTGTGGCGTGGGATGCAAGGCGCAAAGGGTGTCGGTGGTCGGTGAAGGAGCACGAGCGCTAGCAGGAAGAGTCACGGGTGTTTACAAGCGATGAGGGAGCATGGACATTGGCGCGTTTTGGCAAGCAAGACGTCAGTGCCCTTGGCAGGCGAGATGCAATGACAGAGGGCGCTAGGTGCATGATGCAGGCATTGGGCGCAAGGCGAGGCGGTGATGTGTGACGATTTGCAGATACTATGAGGCAAGGGCGTCGAGGTGCTAGACGAGGCATAGGTCTAGGCGTCAAGAGGTAAGGAATCGAGGTGTAGACACCAAATGAGCAGTGCTGGGTGCCGAGGTGCAGGCTCCAGGTGAAGGCTGGGTGTCGAGGTGCAGGCACTAAGAGGCAAGGACGTCGAGGTGAGGCGAAGGTCCAGGTGGCAGGGGGCAAAATCAATCAAAGATGTGATGGTGGATGCTCAACATNTAATATCTCTATGCCCATGTTCCTCACCTTTTAAATCTAATTCTCTCTACATCCACATGTCTAAATTGGGAAAAGAAGATAAAGTAATTTCCTTCCCCAACTTCTCGTATCCGAATCTGTGTGTCACCCCTAACTTCTCGTATCCGAATCCATACATTATATATCATGGAACTCAACGCCTAATTTGGAAACGGATGAAATATTTAGAACTTCAATACACAATCAAGTTCATCAAACCTTACGAAGACACTGTAACAACATAATAAGACAAAATTAGGCATAAATTTCAGGAACAAATAAATAACTTGTAACAGCATAATATTAAGACAAAATTAGGNGGGGGGGGGGGGGAAGTACAGTGTATAGGCTAGGATTATTTTAAGAAAATATATACTATACCTAGGGGTTATAGAAAATATTTGGGGGGGGGGGTTTCATGGCTCCCTCATGCCTCCCTTATGTTTTTGTCTTTGTTCATATCAAATCTATGGTGATTATATATTACTAAATATTATTTTACATTATCCATGGGCCCGGGTTTGGATTTTTACCAAAAAAATAGTGATTCCCACATATGTGATATTTTTGGGTCGAAGTCTTAATTATCTTTTGGAACAAATTTGTATAAAAAGTATTTTATATTTTATTATGACGCAATTATTTTATGTTTGACTTCTTACTTAATGTTGGATTTGAATACGAAATGACCCTTCTTTTTTAATGAATATGNTGGATTTTTACCAAAAAAATAGTGATTCCCACATATGTGATATTTTTGGGTCGAAGTCTTAATTATCTTTTGGAACAAATTTGTATAAAAAGTATTTTATATTTTATTATGACGCAATTATTTTATGTTTGACTTCTTACTTAATGTTGCATTTGAATACAAAATGACCCTTCTTTTTAATGAATATATCTTTGATGTACATAATTGATGACAAAGGGTTAGTAGACGTGTGGTCCTTGTGATGATTCACATAATTCCTATTAGTCATTGGATTTATGGGTTAATAATATTAGTTGGGAAAAAAAGAAAAAAAAAGTGCATTGGGTTCTCTAGGGTGCAAGACCCAAAGTTTTTTTTTGAAGATGGTTCCTGCAAGGACNATCTTTGATGTACATAATTGATGACAAAGGGTTAGTAGACGTGTGGTCCTTGTGATGATTCACATAATTCCTATTAGTCATTGGATTTATGGGTTAATAATATTAGTTGGGAAAAAAAAAAAAAAAAAAGTGCATTGGGTTCTCTAGGGTGCAAGACCCAAAATTTTTTTTCGAAGATGGTTCCTGCAAGGACTGAAAATTGATGAATTATGATTGTCGATATGTATTACATTCTTATGATTTTAACTATGGGTAATCCGTGTCTGAAGTCACGATGTAATGTGAATAGTTTTGAGAGGGATATTGGTGGTTGTTGGATGAGTCTATTTGAGACCGTCGAATGACTTACTAAAGTTTGCCCTATTTTATATTATAGACTAGAGATAACCCGTGCCTGAAGGCATGGTGCAACTAAAAAAAATCGAACATTGAATTTGAACGCGAAATAATCAAGTATTGAACTCGATAAACATAAATTTTGAATTCCAATATTCCCAAAAGCTAACGTATGCACATATCATAATATATTTGGGTAAACATAAAATTTGAATTGAATTCAAATTGAACATAATCAAACCAAATTCAAACAATTTCGGAATTAGCATCCTATGAAACACCTTAGCCACAATGGTTTGTGTAGCTAATCCAAGAACAGTAGCTGGCAGTCCTTCAATCTCTCTCTTGTCTGTCATCAATTTTTCAAATTTCTTTGTAGCATCCAAGTGAGAGATAGGGTCTTGTTCACAACCAAATTGACATCAATCACTATGTTAATATCTCTATGCCCATGTTCCTCACCTTTTAAATCTAATTCTCTCTACATCCACACGTCTAAATTGGGAAAAGAAGATAAAGTAATTTCCTTCCCCAACTTCTCATATCCGAATCTGTGTGTCACCCCTAACTTCTCATATCCGAATCCATACATTATATATCATGGAACTCAATGCCTAATTTGGAAACGGATGAAATATTTAGAACTTCAATACACAATCAAGTTCATCAAACCTTACGAAGACACTGTAACAACATAATAAGACAAAATTAGGCATAAATTTCAGGAACAAATAAATATCTTGTAACAGCATAATATTAAGACAAAATTAGGCACAATAAAGTAAACCTTCAGGCACAATAAATAACATTTTAACTAACTAAAATGAATCAAAACATAAATTTAATTCCTCTCATCACAATTTTAAAGAACAATCAACACACATGTAGAGAACCGTCAAATTCAAACAAATGGCAAACGAACTAAAATCAAACAAATAGCAAACCACCTATGGTCAAAATGTAATCGAAGTCACTATGCAATACAAAAGAAATACAATAGAGAATTCTTTTACATCCAATTTTACATTTGTCAAATCCTTCACAAATACCCAAGTAAATTTAAAATGTCATTGGGACTTAAGAAGGGAATATCAAATAAAGAGGGTAGAACCTTAAGGGAGAAACCAATTTGATAAATAAAAAATCCAAAAAGGGGGATATATTTTCAAAAAAAAACCATTTTAAAATTTCACAATCCCTATTTAACACCCAATTTGAAAACCTTAAGACTCAAAAACCCAAAATAACACCAAATTATTGTGTGTCCCAAATTAAACATCCAAATTGGTTGATTGTGTGTTCATGTGTGTGTGCTGTTGTGGGGTGTGTGTGTTTGCTCTGTTTTTGTGTGGTTGTGTTGTTGGGTGTGTGATCTGTGTGCGCATGTTTGTGTGTTGTTGTGTGTGTTGTGTGAGTGTGTGATTTGTGTGCGGGTGTTGTGGGTTTGTGTGTGTGTCCTTGAATGGTGAGAGAGATGAAGAAATAGAGGTGAGATCTGTGTGTGTTGTGTGCGTGAGATGAAGAAAAAGAGGTGAGACAGAGAGAGAACGCGATTGGAGACAGAGAGAAAGGAGCTAACCTGGGTGTTTCATCTTTGCTAGTGGGTTCACTGGTGGTGGCTGAGCCATGGCAGAGAGAGAAGTCGCAGAGAGTGTGCAGAGAAAGAGAGAAAGTTGTGGGTGTGTGTGTGTGTGCTTGATTGGTGAGAGAGATGAAGAAAGAGAGGTGAGATCTGTGTGTGTTGTGTGCGTGAGATGAAGAAAAAGAGATGACACAGAGAGAAAGAAGCTAACCGGGGTGTTTTGTCTTTGCTGGTGGGTTCACCGTTGGTGGCTGAGCCATGGCATAGAGAGAGAAGTCACAGGGAGTGTGCAGAGAAAGAGAGGGAGAAAGGGTGGTGGGCGGCTGATAGACTTGGGAGATGTGATTTAAGTTTTGGGCGGGATATTTTTTTGTTTCGACGAACTATGTGTCGTTGGATCAAATTAAATGAAATTTAGGTCGTTTAAATGGATGATTTTGAGAGATGTTAGTGATCGTTGGACGAATAGATCTAAGACCGTTGGATATTGAAACCGCCTTGTTTTATATTATAGATTTGACCTATCACTACACTTTTTGGTTATTTTGTTATATTTATATATTATTTTCATCCTTAATTTATATTTTTAGAAGTAGTATTGAATTTCAAGGAGTAAGCTGGGGAGATTGCAGCTATAAGCTATTATTATTGTTTTTTATGCCATACCAGAATGATCTATTGATCGTGTGTTGTAAATCAGATCAGGAATGCAACTGTCATGCCCCGAACCCAATTCCCATGAATTTGGTGCGCGAACTCAATGACCATCAATTTCAATCAATATAGAGCACTAAAATCCTCAATTAATAAAAATATAAATTTTCAATCTTTAGAAATAATTACAATGATTCAAACAACTCTCAAAATTATGGTGCTAACTTGAGTGCTTTGATTATGCATGATTATAAAGAAATGGTTTTATTATAATAAAAAAATATTTAGTTAATGTCAAAATATTTACTTTGAAGACACAGTGTAACATAAGTGATAAGTGATATATTTTGGGGGGAGAGAATTTAATGTAAATGATTTTGAGAGGGATGTTTGTGACTATTGGATGAGTCTATTTGAGACCGTCGGATAGATTTATTGAAGCCTACACTGTTTTATATTATAGATATCAATCCATTTGTCACATGAATGGATTTAAAATGAATCACCAACAAAATCCACACTAGAGTATAAGAGTACTTGGGACTATACTAGAGCCATGCCTTCCTAAAGACAGTCATGAAGGGAAAGCAGACTCATTAGCAAGCTAGCATAGTGAGACTCATTGCCATCAACAAACTCACCCCCATAGAAAATAAGGAAAAAAGAACCAAAATAGAAGGATCAGGGATAGTTTTTGACTTCATGAAACATGTCCAAACCCTCTAACTTTCTTAAAGCGAATTAAGCTTGATAGACCCGACCTAAATCAGACTTAGAATTATCGATCAAGCCTAGCTCAAAGGCCTAGTTTAAGAATGGAAGCCAATCCCACCACGAGATAGAGGAAGCTATGTCAACTCAATCGCGTCATCTTGAGAGAGTCAAGTCAGCCGCGTCATGGTGAGAGATTCAGTCCACAATCAACATGAGAGGAGATCTCCTTGGGACACACATGTCACCACCTCCATGAAACTGTCTTGCCTATTACGACAAGGGCTCTACCTCCATCGAACTACCTCACTTGTTATTAGAAATGACCCTTCAATTTATTAGGAGGTGCTTATAAATTGTAAACCCCACCTACACAAGGGGACATCTCTCACATATGAGCATTTTTCACCTA